CGCCCACCCCCCCCATTCATAACCATCCAGTGTGACTGTATTTGGGCATTTTAGGACGATATTGAGGTTAAGTGAGATCATAAGGGTGGGATTTTAATCTAGTAAGATGCCTTATAAGAAGAGGAAGAGAGAGAACTCTCTGCAGTGTGAGGACACAGTGAGAAGGTGGCTGTCTGCAAGCCAAGAAGAGAGTCTTCACCAGAACCTGATCATGGAATTCCAACCTCCAGAACTGTAAGACAAATCTCTGTTGTTTAAACCGCCCAGTCTATAGTATTTTGTCATGGCAGCCTGAGCTAAAACAAGGAACAAGCTTAATGAAAGCTCAAGGAAGCCACCAAAAAAATCGGTAGATATTCCACAGGACAACTGGATTGGGCTTTTCAATAACTGTGATAAATATAGACTCTTCTAAAATAAAATATATTTAATGGACATAAACATCAGATGTGCACTAGACAGTCTTGGGTTGGATCCTGGTACAGACATACCAGCAGTAAAAAATTTGGGGCCAACTGAAAAATGTAAAGATGGGGATTTCATAAAATGAAGATTTATTGACATAAAAAAGTAAATATCATTAACAAAAAAGCAGGTTACAAAGGAGTATGTATAATGTGATCTCATTTTGGTTAAAAAATTCATATATCTTCCCAGCCGGTGTGGCTCAGTAGTCCCATGTACCAACATGCCCTGAGTTCGAGTCTAAGGGCACATGCCCAGGTTTTGGGTTCAGTCCCCAGTAGGGGGCATGCAGGAGGCAGCAGATTGATGTCTTTCAATGATATTTCTCTCTCTCTCTTTCCCTCTCCCTTCTTCTCTCTAAAATCAATAAAAATACATTTTTTAAAAATACACATATCTTTAAATTTGTATTCAAAAGTATTCTTAAAGAACATATACTAGCCCTGGCTGAGTGACTTGGTTGATTGGAGTGCCATCTGGTACTCCAAAAAGGATGTGGGTTCAATTGCCAGTCAAGGCACATACCTAGGTTGGGGTTTGAATCCCTAGTCAGGGCATGTATGGGTGGCAAGTACCTGATGTTTCTCTCTCATATTGATGTTCCTTTCTCCCTCTCTCTCTCTCTCTCTCTCTCTCTCTTTCATTCTCCCCCTTCTCCCCTTCCCTCCCCCTCCCCTTCTCCCTTCCTCTCTCTAGAAGTCAATGGACATATCCTCAGGGGAAGATTTTTTAAAAAGTAAGAGTAGAGAGTTTAAGATTGCCAAAGTGGCGGTAGGCAATGGGCAAATTTTCAAATAAAAGAGAACCACATAAGTGAGAAACACCAAAAATCGGTGTTAAAACTCTACTCAAATTCCTGGCTGACCCATGAACTATATGAGCACTGAGGAGACTCCAAAGAAAAGCAGAAGCAAGACAGAAAAAATAATGTAACCAAGATTTCAGATGCTGCCCACTATGAGAGAGTAAGAGTTTGGAGTCTAAGTCTAGTCAAGTTAAATACTTCTTAGACCAAAATCAGCACACCTACAGTCTCTACGATGTATCAATATCTACCGTATAATTAAAATATTATTGACATGAGAACAGAAAAATATGACATATAGCCAAGAGAAAAAGCAGGCAATAAAAATGGATGTCAAGATGGCCCAAATGTTGAGAAAATATGCAATCAGGAAAAAATAATTTTTAAAAAATGAGCAGCACCTAGGTGACCCATTAAACAAAACCAGGCTACATGTAATTGCAGTCTCAAAAAGAGAAGCATAAGAATAGAGCAGAAAATAATATTTAAGAAATAATGGCTACAAATTTCTTAAAGTCACACTTAAGCACATCTTAAGCACATCATAGTCAAATTGCTGAGAACCAAAGATACAAAAGTCTTCAAAACAGCCAGAAGAAATGACATATTACAGACAGGGAAGCAATAATACAAATAATAGCTGACTTCTAATCAGAAACAATATAGGCCATAATACAATGGGTTGACAGTTTTAAACAGGTGAAAGGGAGGGGAAAAAAACCTTGTAACTCAGAATACTATATTGAGCAAAAACAATCTTCAAATATAAGGGCAAAAATAAAGACATTTTCAGATAAACGAAGCAAAGAGAACTGTTGAAAGTAGACATACACTACTACAAATACTAAAAGAAATTCTTCAGTCTGAAGGTATAGAAGAATAAATGAAGAACACCAAAAATGGTAGATACATGGATACATAAAGAAGAGTTTAATATAAGACTCTTTAAACAAAAGACTGGCACTGCATTGTGAGATTTATAATATACATATGTATACTATCATAAGAACAGTGTAAAGACAACAGGTGGTAAATGAAACGATACTTTTGCAAAGTTCTTATATTTTATGTGCAATGGTACAATATTAACTCTAAGTTGATAGTGATAAGTATATTGTAATCACTAGAGCAACCATTAAAAAATTAAAGCAGGCTACAGCTAAGAAAATGAGGGATTACACTGAAATATATATGTATATTTATATTTTTTAATTTATTAAAGCAAAAGAAGGGGAGAAACAAATAAGGCAAAGAGAAAAAGCAAAATGGTAGTGATAAATACAAACATACTGTCATACTGAATAAAAAAGCAAGACACCACTATGCACATCTCTAAGAAATTCAATTTAAATATTAAAAAAGATAGGTTTAAAGTAAAAGAATATATGCCATGCAAACACTAATTATAAAAAAGCATGAATAGCTGCACTGATATCAGAAAAAAACAGATTTCAAGATAAGAACTATTATAAGGAGTTAAATAGGGGCAATTCATAATGATAAAAAGGTTAATTTATTAGAAAAACATACCAATTAAAAATATATAAGCCTAACAACAGAGGTACTAAATATACAAAGCAACCACTGATGTAACTAAAGGGAGAAATAAATGACTCCAGAGTCAAAGCTGGAGATTTTTAACATTGTGAGTAAATGATAAAACCACTAGATAAAAATCAGAAAGGATATAGAAGATATGAACACCATGGTCCACCTTAATTGAACATTTGAATCACTGCAGAAAATTCTATTGGGAAATGCTGCTCTATAGGCTAGACCAAAGATATACTTCTCATTTTAAATTTATAAATTGTTTTTAGAAGAGAGATACTAAGATTATCTAATCATAAATTGTCAGCTATTGTTCAGCTATTTTCCCTTAAAATTACATTTAGCCCTAGCCAGTCTTTCTCAGTGGTTAGAGCGTCGGCCCGCAGACTGAGGGTCCTGGATTCAATTCCGTCCAAGGGCACGGCACGTACCTCGTTTGAGGGCTCAATCCCTGGCCCCTGGTCAGGGCGCGGGTGGGAGGCAGTCACTAGATGTGCCTCTCTCACATCAATGTTTCTCTCTCTCTCCCCCTTTCCACTCTCTCTGAAAAGCAATCCTCGGGTGAGGATTAAAAAAAAAAAAAATTACATTTAAACTTAAATTCTGTTTTTTATAGCATTGAATACATACCTAGTAAGCCAAAAATCAAGCGTATTTTTACCAACACCAAATTTTTAAAAACCTAGTCAAACTTAATGAGAATTTTGAACTACAAAGTGGTACACAGTACAGGAATCCTTTAAAATCCACATGACTGTGGTCAAAAGGGGCAAATTTCCAGTGATAAGATTGAAAAAGCCCATATCTTAATTTTTAACTTACTTATATATATGGTAACTTGTTCTAATTTTGAGTCCACCTTTGATGAAGTTGATCATATTTTCATCCTGAAAGCAATTCAATTAAATAATTAGATCATTTAGCAAGAGATTCTGAAACTTTCCCCACGGCTACATAGTTGTGTGTTTAGAACAAGATACTATCTTGTGATTACATAATTTTTTAATTAGAACACTCTTCTTGTTTTACATTTGAAATACCTTTTTGTCATTCTTTTTCCAAGTTAGGGGACAACAAAAAAGAAGTATTTTTTAAATCCTCGAATTACTTTAAGGAAGTAATTAAAGAAATAACCCTCACCAGTTAGGGGCCATATAGGTTAGTAGAAACCTACTTTAATAAGCAGCAGCATCTGCTGAGCAATTCTCTTCTGGGCTCAACAGAATCCAGAACGGCTGACCTTAAGAACATGCTCTCAGGCCTAACTTTCCTGGCCACATCATACTCCAGGACATGGGATTCTGATTCTCTTTCACAGGGGGTTTTAGCAGGCGGAGTCCACTTATGTTGGTGAGTTCATTTATATCCATTTCCAGGTTAAAAATAACTGCTCTGGATTCTAAATTTGTTGTCACTAATATAAAGTTTTGTTCTGGGAATTAAAGTACATCTCTTGGCCTAACAGTCATCAAGCATAAAATGGAGGCAGCTGGCCTAAATGAATGCCATTTTTAGGGTCAGCACTCTAGGACTCCAAAACAGTCTCTTAATAAAGTATATCAAATAACTGCTCGAAGGAAGTTATTACTATAATAGATGGTGCAAATGGAGACAGTCCCATGTTTCTCATTTCCAAGACTACTTTTCTAATCTATTAACATCAAAAAGATGCTCTGGTATTTATTTCCTGTGCATCTGAACATCCTTCTGAAGCAAAAGAAAAACTGTTTTAGTTTGCTAATTTCATTAATTACTCAAATATTTAACATTTCAATTACAAGAATTAATAAATACAAAATTCACTATACAATTTAAATTTTTATCTTCAGATTTTAAGGAATTTCATGATTATACAAGTTGCAATAATGGCCAGGAAAAAAATTTCTTAAATTAGATTAAAATCTGCCTCAAATAAGAATATTTCATGATTCACCAGAAATGGCCGAATGCCTATTTTACATCAGGCACCTGGATGCAAAATTAGACAAAAGCAATGCAGCGTGCTAAGGGATGGAGGAATGCATACAGATGGAGACATGCACAGCAAAATGTCATGAGAGCACAAAGGTGGGAGGGCTGGGGGGATGGGAAGAATCCACAAAAGCATCCCGGCAGCATCACTGCTTAAAGAGCATGTGCACACAAGGTGATTGGGAAGTACCTGGTGAAGAAAGGCAAAGCAGAGGTAAACTTTGCAAGTAAAGGAAAACTTGGTGGGAAGGCAAGGAAGCATTACAGACCATGGTGTGCCTGGTCATCTGTGTTGTGTAACTCAGTCCTGGTGCAGAAATCTACAGCAAAGACAGGAATGACTAAGGAGTAAGAAAGCCACCTCTACCCATGCCACTCAAGTATGCAACATCCCTGCCATCTGAGGACATCAGTAAGAGGGGAGTAGGGAATTGGGGGGAGATACCATTTTAGTTTGAAAAAGCCTCCCCCACTTCTGGCGTTCTATTACGAGACCACTGCTGTAGTCCACGAAAGCTATTAAATTCTGAAGCAGAGAAATGACAAGGTGAGGTTCTCATCTTTGAGAGGGTGCTCAGTTGCACAATGGAGAATGAGCTAGAGGTAAGAGAACTTAGAGACAGAGTCGCTGGGTTGCTGTCCATCTAGGGAAGGGCTGATGAGCACCTCCACTAAACAATTATTGTCAGAAGAAAGAGGAAGAGATGAGCTGCTAAATCTTCAACGGGTAAAAGAAGCATGGCCGTGAAACTGACTAGATATGGAGGCATGAGGGAGAGGAAAACCATGGTTATCTCCCAGTTGGTCCCCAAGCATAAAATAAGCCTTCAAATCATAGATTTGATTGTCAAATCGCCATTTGAAAAACACATCAGGAAAAAAGTGAAGGCCTCTGTGACTCACATTATGTTTATTAAGGCAGCAACACTTATTTTTAATCAGCCTTCATAATACATTGGGTTTTAGGAAACAGGGTGATAGGCCAGATTGATTCAATTTTAATAAACCAGAATCCAACCTAAGAGGTCAACCTCCAGAAAAAGAGAAAAACAACTCTCAGTACAATGTGAAACATTGAGATTGAGGAAGATTTTTCATTTTACAGTTGAATTTCTGCCCTCTTACATCTCCACTCCATGGCTGCGCCACTGTGTCCATCCCTGCCACCCGTGTGGCCATGATGCTAAAATCCATGTTTTTTAGAAGCATTGGAAGATACAATGATAGGTACTGGTTGTAACAGCCCCTAAAGGTCAAATTAAAATGCCCCATAAGAAAAGGATTCATGGAGGGGTTTTTAGTGGCTTTTAAAAAAAAATGCTCATCCAAAGTAAAAAGTAAAAGCAAGACAGGGGAATGAGAATAGGAAAAGGGAGAAAAATAAAATCTGAAGTATGCATGAAAAGTGTGGCTCTCTGCACATAACTGAGCTCTGCCGAAGCGTCTGGTACAAGAGGGGAATGGCCACGGATTAAGAAGCTTTTTATGCCTGGGCCACTGCTGTGTGCAGCCCTCTGCCAATGACAGCAAGCACAGAGAGAGAGAAGCATCCTGCAATTAGGTGTGGTACTTGCAAGACAGTTTCTTTAAAAGGCAGTGGTGTTCCCAGTAGACTGAAGTTTGAAACAGATTCTAAGTACATTTGAACAGGAATAAAGCTCCCTGGTTTACCAGAATAACAAATATCTTTCATTGCAACTCTAAGTCAAAAGAACCGAAGCGATGGCATAGAATAAGCCACATTTTGTCCATGGAGTATTGGCAGGTTTCCCCAGCAATACCGACTCTAAGGCAAAGGTTCATTACCTGCACAAACGTGAGTGCTGCTTTCTGTAGGAGACACTCGGCATAACAGATTTCAGCATGCATTTCCTCTATTAAAAACAAATAAAATCATATTAAGAAAAATCCCATGTCCACAGTAATTGCTCTGAGATGTTCAGAAAAGACTGGTAGATAAATGAGCCCAAGAGAGATGCGAAAACCTAGATTGCTCTGAAGCTTCCATAACAGTGGAATGAGGACCTCAGTTCTCATCTCTCAGCAAGGTTTTCCCAGAATGTGCAAAATGGCTCAGGAAAGTCATCTTATGGTCCCATCCAAATGTAACGGCGAGGAGTCGGGCAGTTGGTGGCAGAGACCCAAACTCAGCTCACAAGAGGAAACCAAAATTTAAAAGCATTAAAAAAAAAAAAAAAAAGAAAACCACTTACTTTTTTAACAGTAATATTCAAGTTTAACAGTTATAAAGATTGAAAAAACTAACTTAAATTTATGAATTCTAGCTTCTAAAATATGGAGGTATGATCATCATGGCAACGACTAAACACATTATTAAGCTGAAGTGGAAACGGCCGTTCTCTAGAGCTCTGTGAAAAAGAACTGTCCTGTGTGCACACATCATGGCTCCTCAAACACAAAAGACGATGTGAAAAGCGCACAAGCACAGTTTTTGGCTGTTTTGATCACTGCAACACGGAGCACAGGAGCAAAGCCCTGAAAAGGGGGCTCTGTACGGCTTGTATTTCCCAGGGACACATGGAGCACCTCAAGATAGCACATGGTCTATCTTCCAAAAAATTCTATTATACTTGCAGAAATTGGGGAAAAGGGGGTAAACTTTGCATTTTTACATTAAAAACATAGCAGATTCCTGCTTTATCCATGAGATACAAATTGGTATTTTATTTAAGTAAATGAGCTTGGGGTATTTAACAGCCTGGGTTGGAGGAAAGGCTCTGCCAAACACTTAGCTGTAGGACCTCAAGAAAGCTACCAGACCTCTCTCTGCTGGTTTCCTTGTTTATACAGACTGGCCCTAATGTCTCTACCTCACAGCTGAGGAACCAAACGAGGTGCTGCATGTGGAGCTCACTATTCAGAGAAGCACTTGATACATGTCAGCTACTTTCACTATGACGACGGCCCTTGGCCCAGCCCACACTTTTCACTAAAAGCTTTTCAGAAAGCAGAACATTTCTTTGTGACATAACTGAAAAATAGGGTGTATCTGTGCTAGTGGAAATGCTGTTGAATCAAACTGGGTAAGAATTATTGCTTTCATTTACACACCAGACCCCCGACCTCACACACACACACATACACACAACCACTGGTTCTCACAAACTGCTTCATCTTCCTGTCGTTGTCATATTCCACAGCCTGAATTTACAAAAGAGCAACTGCAACTAAGGTCCCCAAGAGCATGCACACAGATGGGCTATGGCCTGTGCACATCTGGCAGCGTCGACAGGGTCTCAGTCCTTCATAACACCTCACCTCAACGTGTGCTTTTGGGTTTTCCCAGTGCATTCAGTGGGGTAAACACGGGCAAGTTCTATTTGTACAGAGTCACCTGAATGTTCTCTTCCTAGGTACATGTGTAACATAGTGAGAATTGTTAGGAATTATTCGCTTTGAAAGCCTGCTCAGTAACGCAGACTGTGGCGGGGGGTGGGGGCCGAGGGGTGAAGCTGCTGCACAGAGCAAGGGAAACAGACACAGACACCGGCAGGCGTGCCCTAGCTGAGACGCAGGCGTAAAGGGAGGAGTGGCCAATGAGTCTGGAAACGTAAGTCAGGGCTGTTGTGGACAATGATGAATGCCCGAGTCTGGGCTCAATGCAGCAGGCAATGGTGAGTTCTCGCAGAGACCTGAGCAAAAGGGTGACCAGATCAGGGTTAAGTTAAAAATGGACAAATCTAAGAGCAACTAAAGGGTATAAGTAGAAAGCAGAGATAAAAGGTAAGACACTTTGAACTCTAGATACTATATGTATATTTTCTTCTCATTAAATCCCTCTCATACACTAAGCACTGTGTATAAATATCTGTTCTTAAAGGCAATTTGAAAGCCATTCAGGGCAATATGCCAGCCATGAGAGAAGAGCAGGTGTGTTCCGTGGTAAACCCATGAAAAGTTTAATTAAATATATTCCCTCCTGCACACAACCAGCCACTCAAGGATGTAAATGAAAATTACCAAGAGGAAAAACAAATCACATTCTAAAGCTCCAATGTTTTGACATGCTCAGTTGAACACAAAGTTTGTTTGGGTTGCAGTGGCAGCCAAACTCATCAGGAATAAATGCAACTTAATTTATAAAAGTCTTATTTCTTCATAATTCCTTAGTTCACTGAAGGAAATATCTTCATTTTGCAATGAAATGTTAGCTAAGCATGCCTTTAGATATGAAAGTCTAAATAAACCTATATTTCAGGATATTAACTATTGTAACAATTAACTATTGTCATGTTAATTTTTTAAATTTATTTTCTAGAGCAGTTTTAGGCTCACAGCAAAATTGAGAGTATAGTACAGAGATTTCCCATATAATCTCTACCACCACACACGCATAGCCTCTCCCACTATCAACATCTCCCCCTCCCCCCCAGTGATGCATTTGTTACAACTGATGAACGCCCATTGGCATCACAATCATCCAAAGTCCATAGTTTACACTGGGTCTCACTCTTGGTGAAAACACATTCTCTATGTTTGGACAAATGTATAATGACATGTGTCCACTGTTAGGGTACCCTACCAAGTAGTTCACTGCTCTAAAAATCCTCCACCCTCTATCTGTTCATCCCTATGCCCGATCCCCTCCAGCCACTGATCTTTTCACTGCCTCCATAGTTTTGCCTTTTCCAGAATGTCATATACATGGAGTCCTACAGTATGTAGCCTTTTCATAGTGGTGCCTTCCATTAAGTAATATGCATTTAAGGTTCCTCCACATCTTTTCATGGCTTGATAGCTCTTTGTTAGTGCTAAATAATATTCCATTGTCTGGATGTTTATTTATCCATTCACCTACTGGAGGACATCTTGGTTGCTTACAAGTTTTGGCAACTATGAATAAAGCTGCTATAAACATTCATTTGCAGGTTTTTGTATGAACATAAGTTTCAGCTCTTCGAGTAAATATTAAGGAGAGCAATTACTAAATTGTATGGCAAAAGTATGTTTAGTTTCCTAAGAGAGTGCCAAACTAGCTTCCAAAGCGGCTGCACCATTCCGCATTCCCATCAGCACGAATGAGAGTGCCTGCTGCTCCCCATCCTTGCCAACATTTCCTGTTGCCAGTGTTCCAGATTTTGGACATTCTAGCAGGTATGTAGTAGTATCTCATTGTTGTTTATTTTTTAACATTTAGTAAAAAGTCATTTTCTACCTATTCCACATTTCCTAACGTGCTATGTGCAAAGACATAATAAAAAGAGCACGGTACCATGTGTTTTCAAGTTGTCTAACAGGAACAATTCAGCATTTCCCTTGTCCACACAGGACACATTCTGTGTCTTTTTCTACACGCCCACAGGGGAAAGTTTGGGGTGCCGTGGAAAGAACTATCAGGTGTAAACCCTGCTCTGCTGGGCCATGTGTTTAATCTTCTAAATATTAGTTCCTAGTCCATAAAAAAGATTAGACTGAATAATGCTAAGGAAAGCATCAAGAACAATGTCTGACACATAGACATAATGGGGCATTATCACCATTACCTTCTAAATTATTATTATTATTTATACTTACACTAAAAATATCATGTTATTCTTCCCAAAACTAAGGTAAAAAAAAATCTCAGATGTCAGCCTTCATATTGCAAAGGAAAAGGAAAGCAGGGGCAATAGGCCACTGGAGAGAGACGATGCCGAGGAAGACAGGAAGGGGGATGTAAGTGAAAGAGTCTAGTTTCTCTGGAGCCCATTTAAACTCCGGAGCCATTGGCCTACTTTAGTGGGCTCTAGGGCCACTGAGGCCAATTTCCATCAACGGCCCAAAGGTGGAAAATATGAAGACATATTCTACCCAAAATCAAGGGGGTAAAGAATATTCTTACGTTTCTCACAGGTCTTTTTCTGGAGAGGAAGAAGACGGGCCTCAGCTGCCTGGAGTGAGCCAGGAAATGCCACCCTGGTCTACAGTGGTTTCAGGGCCAACACAGGCCCTTTAGGAGCAAGTCCCTAGGCATCTCCTGCAATCGGCACCTAGCCTCACATCATGCCAATGTCGACAACAGGTTGACGATAATGCTCCTCTAGCAAAATAAAACTTCATAATCAAACACATTCAGAAGTGTGTCCGACATACAGGAGAAGGCCAGGAATGACTGACAGCAGTACCCAGAATTGCTCCTGCCTTCATCAGCCACAGCTACTTCCGCTATTTGTGTTGCCTCTTCCAGAGAGTAAGCCTGACAATGACCACCCGTGCACAATTTCTCCTTGGATGGCAGAAGCTTCACTCTAGGATAGCCACATCTGAAGAACGTTATTTTCTCTTTTGCAGGGTATCTGGATGCTGTTTTCTTGTAAACAATTCTGACTAGAGTGTAAAACTTATAAAACAGAGCTAATTGTATTCCTTCTGCCCTGATCTCAGTGGGAACATGAAGCAATTGACAACAAAAAGTCATTCCCTCCCCATCCATCTGATCAAGATGCTACAGTCATTTCTGGATTCTTGAATATTTCCTGAATATCCACAAACCAGCATCTTCCATACTGTGAAACATTATCAATGTTTTCTAAGGTATCAAAATTACTTCCTTTACCTTGAAAAAAATTTTTAATAGTTTGCAGAAAAATAGCAACTCTCATACATGGATGATAAGAATATAAACTGACCTAACATAGGCAATACCTATAAATATTATCAATTTTTAAATCCTAAGTCCCAGTAATTTCCCTTTTAGATCTCTATCCTCTGAAACGCTTACAAAAATTCATGAAGATATAGGTACAAGAATTTTAGGACATGCCCTGGCTGAGTGGCTCAGTTGGTTGGAGCGTCGTGCCATATACCAAAAGGCTGAGGGTTTGATTCCCAGTCAGGGCACATGCCCAGGTTGTGGGTTCGATCCCTGGTTAGGGTGCATGCAGGTGGCAGTCAATCAATGTTTCTCTCTCGAATTGATGTTTCTCTCTCTCTCCCTCCTCTCTCTCTGAAATCAATAAAAACATATCCTCGGGTGAGGATTTTAAAAAAAAAAGAATTTTCGGACAGCAACATTTATAATAGTGAAAAAAACAACAATGCAACTGTCCTTCAATAGAGAAAAAAGTAAGTAATCGATGATACCCCACCCAATGGAATATTACATAGCTATTAAACAGAATTAAGTACACATTATATGTACTAACGTGGGAAAACATCAATATAAAAAAAACATGTTGCAGAACAATATATAATGTGATTCTATGCAAAAATTAACAATACATGAACAACTATAAACACCCCACGTCTATCTTATGTATGTATTTATATATGTACACAGAAAAGTCTACAAGGCTTCAAAACCAACTCCTACCGAGAGTTACTTCTGGAGGGCATGACAGAGAAGAGGAAAAGACATTCCATTTACTTTATATGATATATTTAAGTATTGAATCTTATGAGCGTTATCACATTTCGATTTTTCAAAGAAAGGAAAAAATAATCTTTTAAATGAGTCTTACCTTCGCTCATCTGTTCCAATGATCCTCTGGAAAGAAGGCTTGAGAAAGACTCTACAACCGTGGTTTTTTTCCTATATCTACACAGAACAAGCAGAAGGGAAGGAAATAGAAGAAAGAAATAACAGTAAATTAGCTCGAGCTCATTTTCACTTGACATTCACTTCAGTCACAGCCACACCAGAGTCCCCAAGGCACAGCTCAGCACTAGCATCTGCGGGCAGAGCCCACCTTGTGAGCGCTGCATCCCCACTCCCGGCCCCGGGCCGGCCTGCTGGGGGCGCGCAGCCCCTGCTCCCTGAAACGCCAGCAGACGAGCGCACGCCGAGCAGTGAACGCCAGCCCTGCCAAGCACCCTCCCTGACCTCTGCGGCTGAAACCAGGGCTTCTGTGGTAAGGCTCACCATGCGTAAAGAATGAACTTAAGAGGCCAATATTTGAAACCTCTCTTCATTTGTGGGGCTTGCAGCATAGTTACATTAGTATATAAATTCCACCAATGTTAAAATTCACCAATGCTAGCTAAAAGCTTTTGCTACGGTCTTCCTATAGACACAGAGCAAAGATTAAAATAAAACTGAAAATTCATCTCATTTTCACCAACCAAAGTGTTCAACTACGCTCCTTTTAAACAAAACAGCCCCTTCTGGATTTGCAGCATCTCCCACAAAAAGAATGTGCCTAGCTTGGCTGGGCTTGGGGTGCGGTACCTAACCTCACCACAGGGAGCCCCTTGAGATGCTTGCTGCTAACCCCAATTGCAATCTCCTCAGCCCTTCTCTGCAGGTCAAGTTGCCACAGATGCCAAGTGTTTGGGCAAACCAGAATCATACTATGATTCCCAAAAGTGAATGTTTTGTCTCTATTACATAAAACTATATGAGGCCAAGAAAGCTGTAAAGCTCAAGTCCTTTCCTACAACTGTGGCCAACTTCAAACAGAGCTCTCAGTAGGGCAAACCACATTCATTTTATCACACAGGCATAAAGAGCCATATCTCAAGTATTTAATTACTCAGTTCATACCTTTGGCAGGTTTGTAAGGCGTCCCTCATGGCAGAAATGCCGTTTTGGATGTCCTGTTGCTCGAAGGTCATGATGGCCTGCAATACCACAATGGTACTATAGCCCAAGGCATGGTACATGCTGTCCTTAGCCCTGGGGGCAACACAGAGAATTAGCACATTTCAATTCAAGTGAAAAACATTCAAGTCTTATCTGATAGTCAACATAAGAAATCCTAATAAATATAAGTCTTGACTTTCACAGTGAGAATCTTTACTCCTTTACCATAGTCACTGAAATAATACGGCTGTAAAAGGCACGCCCTAGAACACTCGAGGATCAAGGACTTTCCAATTTAAGCTCACACAGGCAGCACAGAACATTCCAAGTTGAAAGAGATGCTTTTCCCTGTTTCAGCACAAGGGGGCAGCCTGCAGATTCATTTCCTAGAAAATGTTTCAAAGCAAACCATTTTTCCCCATCGAACAAGGGACAGTGAACGTCTGTAGCTCTAAGTGCTAAAATAAAAGCCACTAGAAATATGTTTTGTGACAGACAAATTCTGATGTTTTTGAATGACAAAGGCTCATTAAAAATTGTCCCCTCCACTCTCCCAGCCAGAGGCCAAGAGGAAGCAAAATTTTTTCAATAAAGTTAGGTCTGCAGCAAAGGGACCTGACAAAACCACGTTTTAAACTTCATATCTAATCTAATCCCATTATCTGAAATTCCTGATTGAAGTTCTTGATAATTCAAGTTACCAGCGAGAATCACTTAGACTCTTAAAGAGGTCAATTAGTCCTAATGTATGGCAGATATCCCAGATTCTGTCACCATCACTTTTCTCAAAACTTCTTAAATTATGTTTATTATTTATAAGATTTAAGATATCAATGCATGATTCTGTTTTTAATTCAGATATAATCACAACAGCCTGCTGCTGTGTAAAACAAATGCAAGCCACTGTACTCTTTTCCCCAGGGAAATGGTCTAAACAGCCTTTGGTAATTTGCAGTTTGCCCTGAACAGTGAGGGCACTGCCTGTTCAAAGGGGCCGCAAAGAAGAAGAGCAGCCCAAAATCAATCAGAAACTGTGGTTTTAAACCTCATACTTAACCCAAAAGGTCCTCCAAGAGGAAAAAAAGTATTCAGGTAAGAAAAATGTATGCTTGAGAGTGAAACTTGCCAGAGACTCTATAACTCCACTAAATACAACACAAAATCATTTCTTTTCATTCCATATTATGTCCAGCTGGGTGTCAGTGGCTGAGAAAAAAAAGGAAGACCTGTTTGACTAAAACAAAACAAAGAAACAGGCNATAAAGATCAGAGACTCTATAACTCCCCTAAATACAATACAAAATCATTTTTTTCATTCCATATTATGTCCAGCTGGGTGTCAGTGGCAGAGAAAAAAAAGGAAGACCTGTTTGACTAAAACAAAACAAAGAAACAGGCAGGCAGGCTAAGAGGAGAGACAAAGGAAAAAAAGACAGTCAGGGAGAGAGACAGAAACAAAGGGGGGGTAGAGACAGGGGCGGAAAGACAGAGAAATCNCCAGGCTAAGAGGAGAGACAAAGGGAAAAAAACAGTCAGGGAGAGAGACAGAGACAAAGGGGCGTAGAGACACGAGGCGGAAAGACAGAGAAATCACTGGGGGCGGGCAGGAGACAGGCAAGGTAGGGACAAGTGTCGGAGACAGCACTGGCAAATTTCCTTAGGCTATCGGCTTCACCATCTATTCTAACATATGTTCCTAACCTCTGAAATTCTAATTGATCAAGATCTTCTAAATCTTAATAGAATTACCATAGCAACTTCTCAGTAGGTAAATTAATTTCTAAGATTCGAAGTCAAGGCCAGAATCACATCCCCCTATCAGTGGCGTAAAGGAATGAGATTCCCACTTTTGTGCCCAGCTAACCTACAAAATTCTATGAGGTCTAAGCTTCATCTGAGTAAGTGACTGAGGAAACAATGTGAGAGTAAGTATTCCTTCCTGTAGAGCTACAGTCACACAGTAGGGTTGGGGACTGTGGTCAAAGTGAGGCCTTGTAAGAAGGCTGAGCACAGGTTTTGCTGCCACACTTAAAAAATTAACAGGTACTATTAATTGAAATTAAGTTGTTTAACTTTTATATCACATAAACAGGGAGTCCCAATTTTTATATTATCTTAAGTTTTTCAGCATTAGAGATTAGCATTTTCCAGTTCTTCCCATCCCCATTTCGAAGAAAACTTTTTTCAATTATATTTAAGCTTAAGAGGAACATCTGTAAAAATATTTCACTGAAGGAAGCAAAATGGAGTGCTACAAAACTACATAAATGACACTATCTAAACAAGTAGAAAAATTAAAATATGAGAAAGAACCAGAAATTTTCTACTGAATAAAGCTGAAGTGGATATTTAAATTAACGAACAGTAAGGGGTCTTAACCAAATATTTAGATGGAAATACAAATAAATTAACTGACAAGAATGACATAAAAGACAATTATCAAAAACATGTGAAAAAATATATTTTACCTAAAAGAAATAAAGTTAATTACCATGGTTGGAGCAATTCTAAGGCATCTTTAAATTTGTTACTTAGAAATAATTTCAATGCTCTTTCACATTGTTCCAGGCCACCTTTGAGATCCATCTTGGTTGATGTTGACCTAAAGATCAAGAAAAAAATTATATAGAATTTCTATAGCTTTTACTATTAGCAAGTTGTCGCAGGGAGTGTGTGTGTGTATGTGTGTGTACACATACTTTGGAGAGAGATAGGCTGGAATTCTAACTCTGCCACTTACTAGCAGGTCTTGAACCTCTGGAAGCTGACTTTCTCATCTGTAAAATGGAACACCACCACGCAGGGCTATTGTGAGGATAGAGTTAATGACAAATAATGCTCATAGTGGACAGTGAATAAATGATAGTTATGCCCTGCCCCTCCCCACCCCATCACTCCAAAGACCGTAAGTATAGGAAGTGCCCTTATTCATGGGGGCAGCAGAGGTTACTTTGTTTTAGTTTGGTTATATAAGGGGGGGAAACGTGCTTCAGTGGAAAACTGAATTGTCCAGAGGAGACCCTCCAAGTTACTTGCTTTTGATTTTATGGGAGCTATCTTACAACTCTGTGAGTTTTAAGTAACTGATAGCAATGCAAAATAATTGTCTATAGACGTGTCAATTCAGTCCTGGCCAGAAGAGGGTGAACTGACTTCCCTCCAGAGGAGAAGTAGCTAGTTGTTGCTGAATTTGCATTCATTTCAATACTCCTTTATTCCACACAAATTTGTGCTGTTTTCAGTCTTTAAAAGGTGATCATTTCTACATCTCTATGACAGTCATGATTGTACACTGTTTTGAAATTTTTGTTAATTATTTATGATTCATAGAAACTTTGCTCTTTAAAACTAGAGCCATCTCTAAACTGTTTAGTAACAATTTTAATAGAGCTATATCTCAAAAAAATATTTCAGTAAGTAAATGAGCAGTACAATTTATTTCAAAGTACTAAAGTATAATTTCCATGCCTCCAAACTCCCCAAATTAATTCTTTCAAGCATGAAAACAAAATCTCATCAGTAACTCATCTACCAGAAATGGGCTCTGAAGGTTCTACAGGGAATGACCCTCTGTCCCCAAAACTTCTCATGGCTGGTTCCCTCCTGTTACTCAGATCCTGAACAGCTCTTGGATTTACCGTATTTCACCTCCACTGCCCAGTCCAATTCAGCCATCATTTGCTGCCTGGTGTCTACAGACACACTTTACCCATTTCCTACTCCTACCTCTCACCCCAGTCAAAGCTCTATCTACAATTCATTAAACTAATATTTACGGAGCTCTAACTCTGTGCCAGGCACCCTTCTAAGGGCTGGGAATACAATAAACTAGACACATGGGATCCGGGGCTCTAAAGTAGCTTCCATTCTCCTGGGGTGGGAAGTGCAGACTTAAACAAGAGGACCAGCAGCTAAGATCCTCTCAGGCTGGGTCAGAGTCTGGGAGAGAAACTGGTTTGGGAAGGTGAATGGGGTGTGGCCCAACATTAACGAGGATGGTCATGGAAAGTTGTCCAAAAGGATGACCTCTGGGAGCCGTAATATGGATCCAGTCATGGGTATATCTAGGGGATGGGGGGAGATTCTAAACTGGGAATGTGACAGAAAGCAGGCAGAAAGCAGAAACCATAGCAGCAGAGAAGACGGGTTTTATTCTAAGAACAAATAGAAATGTTTAGCTCAGAAATCTCCACTCTCTTTCTAATCACCCCTCCGACTGTTGGGTTTTCCAGTTTTACCTCTCACCTGCTCTCTTAATCTTCACTCCCATCAGTTCTCTCAGGTTACAACTCATCTCTTATTACAAAGAGATGGGATGGAACAGACACTGGTCCACCTGCCAAACAACAATCACCTTTGCATCTCAGCTGGCCACACTGTCACCGGGAGGATGCACTTAAATGCCCAGCTTCAGGGATAAACAAAAGTAGGAGCTCAGCACGTCCAAAGAGTAACCTCAGCCCTTCTAAAGGGCTTACTAAGAGGTTCACATGAAATTAAGAATCACCTCCACCCCCCAGAATACCAGTACTACCATGTTTTGCATGGAATGACCAAGAGAGCAAGTTGAATCTCAGCCAGAACTTCTCACATCTCTTGGAGTCAGTTCTCTCCATTTCTACTGCCATCACATTAACTGAGACTCTTCTCACTTCAAGTCATGGATGCCATCCTGACTGTTACTGCTTTGATTCAGTGGTTCTCAGACTTCAGTGTGCATGACACTTACCTGGAGGGCTTGATATGAAACATACTGCTGGGCCCCACCACCAGAGTAGACGTGGGGTGGGCTCCACAAGTTCCCAAACAATACTGATTTTGCTTTCATTCATCCTGGACACAACTCTCACACTACCCTTCCTAAAACAGATGTTCATTCATACTGCCTCCTTGAGTTAAGAACCTAAAGTGCTGCCCATATCTACCAAAGGAAGTTGAAGCACTTCTGCCCAGCCCACCACACATGTCTCATCAGATCAGAGTGAAGAGTATGGCTCTTTAAAAACAGTCAAGTATCTTGCAAGAGGCATATCAACATGGCATCCTCCTCAAGCCTGACATGAAATAATAAAAATTCCTAGACTGGAAATTGGAGGTCAAAGCTGCCATCTCTAGCCATGTGATCTTCAGAAAGTCATTTAACCTCCCTGCGTCCACTGCCTCGCCTTTGAAATGCCCTCCCATTTCACAATGTGCGCAGGAGAAACAAAGGCATAAAGGTTCTATTCCCTATAAGATAGCCAACATGTCAGTTTACTATTTATGACAATTTGAGGACATGTGTATGGTGAAGGAAGAAGTGGGCTATTATGGACCAAGGGAACAGATGGAAACAGGAACTTCAGATTCCTTGCTAAGGGCATCCAGAGAAAGTTTCTGCTTTATTCAGGAGCCTGGGAGCCACAATCAAAGATTTCCTACATATACGGAGTCCACTCACACCGCGGTCCTGGGTGAGCAGACCTCACAGGCGCAATACCGCTTTCAGTTATTTACCTGGAGATACGCTTTTGCCCTTTGAGCGCTCACAATTTATACTGACCTATGTTCAGTAGAAAGATCATTGGTGACTTTTTCCTCCCCTTTCCAAATTATTTTAAACCTTTTCATGTTACTTTTATAATGAAAAACTGATTTACATAAATATTATACACATAAGTAATGTTTTAGAGAAAAACAAAGAGAAAAGTCCTATCTGCACCATTTCCCAGCTCTGTAATCTCAAACAACCACATTACCTCTCTAAGTTTGTCTCCTTATCTGTAAAACGTAGGTAGTCACACCTGCTGCTACTACTTTACAAGGTAGTTATAAAAACCAGGTAAGCTCATGGAAATAAAAGTAGAAGTACTGTTTATATTGAGGTATTGGTATAATTTTCCACGACCGTCTAAGATAAACAAAAAGGTTACAGAAAGCTAGGTTGAACCCTATTATAATGTCTGAGCACCCTTTTTTCTATTTTTCTTTAATTGTGGTAGAATACACATAACATAAAATTTACCATCATAACCATTTTTAAGTGTACATACAGTTCAGTGGTGTTAGTTATATTTACATTGTTATGCAACTAATCTCTAGAACTTTTTCATCTTGCCAAACTGAAACCCTACTCCCATTAAACAATAACTCCCTCTATTCTTCACTCTTTACTAACCAAAGAGAGAGGGTCCCCTCTTTTCTCACAAGCTCCTACTCAAAATTGGGCCATTGGGAAAACCTTATTTCACTAAACAGTCTCTGGAACTCAGACTCCTGAGGAACCAGAACTCCCCGCACAACTCTGGGATTCTCCCAAACTTCATTAAGTATTTAAAGTTACCAGTGGTCAGTACTACACTGAGCTGACAATCCATGCTTGGTAAGTGAAGAATTTAAAAGTCTACAAATGGTTTTCTCTCTATTCTTTTAATTCTGAGACTCTAGGCCCCTGTTCTGCTTCCTGCTTTTGATGAATTTCTCAAGTAGGTCAAGAAGACAAAATGCCCTGTATCTCAGAGTTTTAAAGTGGGCGGCCATGTCATTATAACATTTCCCATGGAAAAATTCATCTGTGAAGATCAAACATGTCCCCCAAATAATAAAGAGATATTACAAGGAGGAAGTGATGGGAAAGCTCTGGGCCGAGGTGGAAAGTCTTTCCCCATTTTTCCAAAAGTGACCTTAACACAGCTGCCTCATCAACGAGGGTGCCAACAGGTATGAAGTGATGAACACAAAACCTACAGACGGCTGCAACTTTGTGTTGCGGTGCCCTGTGACGACACTAGCAATAAACTCAAACTCAAAGAATAGCAGAGTTGCCCAGCATCAGGATCCTTATAAAGGAAGCCCTCTCCTGGTTCTTTGAAGTTAAAGAAACCATGGTTGTCAAAACACTGTAAGACTAAATAAATGAGAGGGATTATAACCAGGGAGGCAAATGGGTTTTGAGAAGGCAGAGCACCAAGTTGCAATTCAACTACTGCCTGGCCGGGGCACCTTGGGTATGTAATTTGACATCCGGGATTTTTGTTTGTTAAATAGTGACCAAACACCCTCCTTGACTGCCTCCCAACTTTGCGTTGAGGGGTAAATACATTGGGTTCTGTAGTGTGAGTGATACATTAGGTAGGGTGCTATTTTGTTCTATGCAGTCTAACTACCCACATACTTGTCCAAATTTGAAGACTTTCTCCACTTTATAGAGTTCCTTCTAGGCTGCTCCAGAGTACATTTACAACTGCTTGATTTTACAAATGCACTAAAAGACCTGTTGATTAAAAAGTAGAAGAGGAATTTTTATTGTTTAATATTTTAAAAGAAAAAGGCTATGAAATCTGCAAATGCAGTATATGCTATTTACTTGACTATGCCTAAAAAATAATTAAATTTCCCTCCATTTCTTCACTTATATATCTTTTTGTTTGTTTATTTTTCAATTAAAGTTGACATTCAATATTATATATGACATTCAGGCATACAGACACAATAGTGGTTAGACATTTATATAACTTACAAAGTGATCCCCCCAATAAGTCTAGTATCCACCTGATGCCATACGCAGCTATTACATTATTACTGACTCCATTCCCTATGCTGTATTGTACATCCTCATGACTAACTTGTAACTGCCAATGTGTACTTCCCAATCCCTCTGTCTTATTCATCCAGCCCTGCAACCCCACTCTCATCTGGCAACCATCAGATTGTTCTCTGTATTTATGAGTCTGTTTCTGTTTTCTTTGTTTGTTTTGTATTTTCTCTTTTTTTTTAATATGTTTTTGTTGATTTCAGAGAGAGCAAGGGAGAGAGAGAGAGAGAGAGATAGAAACACCAATGATGAGAGAGTCATTGATCAGCTGCCTCCTGCACGCCCCCTGCTGGGGATCAAGCCCACAACCCGGGCATGTGCCCTGACCAGGAATCAAACCTCAATCTCCTGGATCATAGGTAGATGATCAACTGCTGAGCCATACCAGCAGGGCCCTTACATCACTTATTGAAGAGACTGATCTATGTGTCTGTTTCTATGCCAATACCTTGCTCTTTTGATTACTATAGCCTTGTAGTGTAGTTTGATATCAGGTAGCATGATACCTCCAACTTTGTTCTTCTTTCTCAAGATTGCTTTAGCTATTTGCCAGCAAGTCCATCTGGGAGAAAGCTGCCCCTCCAGTCCTTGGCACTTTTTGAGCTGCTGCCCCAGTGCTGGAGCGCAGAGCAAGTGAGGCCACCAGGGAGTAAGGCCATGCACGGGAGCTCTAAGAGGAACACCTAGGACTCCAGCAACTTGTTGTCTTATCAGGAGGGACAGGATCCCTGCTGATTTTCACAACCAGATGTTGTGAGGACTCCTCTTCCCAGCACTGGTGATCCAGCCTGGAGAGCCTAGTGTGGGTCTAACCTCTTGCTCCTCAGGGGGAACCTCCACAGCTAAAACATCCCTGCTGATTCTTAACTGCCACACACGGGTGTGGAACCAGCCTGTTTTTCATCCACCCCTCCTATCCATCTCCATGCAGCTGCTTCTTTATATCCTTAGCTATAGGAGTTCTGTTCAGCTGGTGTTTGTGGGAGAAGGCGAACACAGCATTTACCTATTCCACCACCCTGACTGGAACTTCCTTTATATATCTGTAACCTCTTCTCTGACCCCCTTTCAACTCCGAAACACACAAATCTTATTTCTATTTAATGTTAAACCAGCAAAAAAAACAAGGTAACTTTCCCTCACTCTTGTCTTCTCTCTTAATACACAACTTCTCCCACTCCGTTTCCTCATAGGCAAGAGCTTCAAAAAGGAGTTGACACATTCCTTACTTCTCCCCTCCCATTCACCACAGACTGGCTCTTGCCCCAACTTGACTGAAACCCTTCAAATTAAAGGTCCCTGATATTTAACTGCAAAAGCAAAGGATACTTTTCAACCTATATGCATGCAGACCTCTGCAACACCCAGCTCTATTGACCAAATTCCAGAACTCACCCCTCCCCCAAATCCCTTGCCCATCCCACAGCCACCATCTCATGGAGTTGTCCTCTCCCACACATCTCTGTAGCTCTTGCTTGAACTCTCACTCCCTCAGCCACCCCTTCAGTGTCTGTGTTCCCAAAAGTTCCTTCCTCCATTCTCTTCTCATTAGTTTTGCTCTCTCTTGGAAATAGCACTTGAGGTTCCTGACTTCAAGAACTACATATATGCTGAAGATCCCCAGTCTAAATATCCAGCTCACAGCAAGCTCTGAATATCATACCCTTTATTTATTACTGTTTTCAATACTTTTTTTAGCTATTTTATTACCACTTTCAAACTCAGCCTTATAAATGTTGATGCAATAGTTATCTAGGAAACTATCAGATAAGTTAGAGGGTAACACTGAAAAGGGGGCACATATTTCTGAAGAAAGCTCAGATTTCCAGAACAGGGACGTATGGAATAAAACAGTAACCTGAAAAATAAACGCCTTAAGATCCTTAGAAGTTATTTTCAAGTTCATCTCCATTCCTCAAGCCTAATATTATTGCACCCCTTTCTTATATCAACAAACTGCCAAGTCCATGAGTATTATGAATACACTCATAAGTAGCTAAAATTTCAAATGCAAAATCCAAAATGCTAAAGATCTGCTGTATAATTTAAAGTTTAATAAACCTATAGGATAGATGATAAAGCACTTTCTCATGTTACTAAAAAGTAGCTTTAACAGAGTTGCCTTAATAACTGATAAAGAAATAGCCTACATGTTTAAAAAGAAACAACTAGTTAAATTAATTCCAGAATACGCAGGAAAGGAATAGTACCTAGCAATTATATGTGACATTATAAAGAATACTTAAGGAAAAGAAAAAAAGTCATGATTTACTAAGTTTTAAAAAGCAGGTTACTAAATATTTAGTATGATCCCAATTAAGCAAAAAGTTAATATCTCTATATAAAGGGAAAAAGAAAGAATATACACCTAAAAAATGGTTATGATAGTTAAAGTGATAGAAATACATATTTTATTCTTTGTGATTTTCTATTATTTCCTGAATGTTCTACAATGAACATTTTTAAGTGCACTTTTAAGCCAAGATTACAAAAAGAATGTAAGTAGAAAAATGGTCATAATACCATATTGACTGAAAACTCTATGGTTATACCCATCTCAAGAAGCACATGCCCAGGAAAAAGACTGGAATGAAATACACCAAAATTCTAACAGTCTGTGTCATAATTATAGCTTATGTTTCTTCTTTCCTCCACTTCTCCCTATGCTTGCCAATGTGGTTACATTATTTTATTTAAAAATTAATGGTTAAAAATTTTTAAGATAAAAAAGACACAAAGGGATCTGTGCCCCAAAAGTTGAATTTAGTTTTGTTTCTGCTTTTATGTAACAGTGACACCTATTCATTGAGTCCCTTAGCCTCCTTCCCTCATTTGTCAAATGGGCGCTCTACCTGCCTGGGCCTCTCCCCTCCCCACCTATCAATAAACCACAGAGCCCTGTTCTAACATCAACATTACAGTTCACTAAAGGGTAGGACTGGTCCCCTCAGGAACGCTGGTACACCTTTTCTGACCTGTTCACATTAGGTGGTCTGTGCTGTCCAGAGGCCTGTTTTGAGTCCAGCGATTCTAAGGAACAGCTGCTTGTTGCCATATCTTTGCAAAAAGGCCTGTTAATAAATAAAAAAAAGGCAGAGTGAGGTATTTATTTTTTTGTCTTACAGGAAAAGTCCACATAAATTTAAGAACACAACACAAGCCCTTCAATAATTTACTACATCTCACTTCCATTTCTTAGCAATTTGGAAAACCAAAGAAATTAACTGAAATCAGCCCCCACCACTCTCCACCCAAAGACAGCATTGTATGTTGTATATGTCCTACATTTTATACATCAGGGAAAATCAGGGTTCTTCCTACAAGAGTGGTTGGGTGTGGGTGGTGGGAGGGAAGAAAATGCCACGGATAAGGGGGAATGTAGCTTGAAATCAGGTTATGTTCCAGCACAAGAACTTTCTGCCAGACAGAGGAAGCACTAAGCACTTATGTAAACAAGACTTTGGGGCAGTGACTGTCATCTCTGTTTACAAACAGGGAAAGAGGTAAAGACAGATTCAAGAGGCTGTCTACCCTCTTGAACCATCCTTGCCCACCTGTTCTCTTACAGATTCACCTTTACTCTTAATTATAAAATTCTCTCCAGTGTTAAAATTTTGAGGTTTTTGGTGTGTGTGTTTTTTAATCAAAACTAATCACTCTTGCCCTGGCTGGTGTGGCTCAGTTGTTGGGTGTCATCCCATGAACCAAAAGGTTGCCAGTACAATTCCCAGTCAAGGCACCTGCCCAGGTTGCGGGCTCAATCCCCAGTAGGGGGCGTGCAGAAGGCTGCCGATCGATATATCTCTCTCACATCAATGTTTTTCTCTCCCTCTCTCCCTCTCTCTCTCTAAAATCAGTAACAACAAAAATTTTTAACATATTTTAAAAAACCTAATCACTCTTTCCTCTAACATTTCTGATTTTGAGGGCACACTAGGAAAAACTTCCCTCCACAAAGATTTTCTAACTTGTCATTTCACCAGTGTTGTTACTTTTTAATATTTAATTTGTTGATCCATTTATAATTTGAGTACATGGTACAAGACAGTGCTGTGCATTTGTTTCTTAATCTTTGGCCATTTTCCCAAGGCCATATCTTTCCCCTCAATGATATGATAGACCACATATATAAAACATTAAAATTTTACTAAGTTCTGCTAAAATCAAGTATGTTGTGCCAGGTAAATGTTGCATGTTTCAAAGCTAAGATTATAGTGTCTTTACCTGGCACAACAGACTTGAATTTAACAGAACTTAATAATTACTAATAAAATAATAATAGATTATAGTTATCTTTTCTGAGGTATAAAAGTTTAGATTAGATGCCTCTAGTCCTTACTGCTTTTATGCACATGTACACAAAGTCCCAGAAGTTCTGTGGTATTTTTAAATTTATATTATTATCACAATAAATGTATCATGCTACAAAGTGATTTTTTATTCAACGGCATTTTGATATAGACTTAATTCACTCACTTAAACTATTATCTAGTATTTCATCAAGAACCTTTTTTTTTCTTTTTCATTTTTTATGAGAAATGTTTCAAATACCTGGAGAAAATAATATAACACCTAAGTATATCTGGAATTCATTTTTGTGTACATATTTGTTTCCCATATGGACAGGCAATTATCCCAACACCAATGAGTAACTTATCCCCCAGCTACTCCTTAGCTTGGAAATAAGAGGAAATCCGATGTCCTCTCAATGTCATCTTGGAGCAATGCCTAACAGGCCCGCCCAAGGATATATCTTTGTTTGATTTGCTATTTACTATTGATTGAGGCCTATATTCTGTAAAAGTATATGTTAACTTATAGATTTTTTTGTCTGGTAAATATGCAAATAATTTGTCTGGTAAGGTTTTACAGTTTTATTGCCTTGCAAGAGATTAACCAGTTTTATATATAACAAATCTTATTCCAACATTCTTTCATCAGTTCCCCAAATATTCTTGGAACCAGCTTTACCATCTTGCTGATTTCCTCGTTGATAAATCTTTGACATTTGTTCATTCTGTAATTTTTATACAATGACATATGGAATAATACTGCAATCTCTGTAACACAGGGCAAGTTTCCATACTTGCACAGGCTGTCTCTAGGCCTCTCTGCACCCTTCACATAATTTTCATTACCATGGCTTTCTTTATATGCCAATGGAGCAAGTCCTCTACTGTATTAAATGTTCTTTTGGGGGGAATGAGAGGGTGCTGCTATTATTTTACCTGCATTCTTTTATCTTCATTTTACCTTCATTACATTTTTAGCAAACTTCGCAGAGAATTGCTATCTTTACAATATTACATTTTCACATCTATACACATTTATTCAAGTCTTCTCTTATTTCCTTCAGTAAAGGTTTTCAATATGTGAAACACTGCACTGGGGTACATGTATCCTTGCAAAAAAAGCCATGCTAAATGTTCTTTATATTGCTTCAGTTTTAGAATCTGTACCACCAAAGTAAGTGCAGTTATTAAAAATTTAAATAGAATGACTTGTCTGTTCCACTCCTGAGCACGGCCAAGATGTTATACTGAGATATTAGAAGAAATGTATTTTTAGCTGGTGAAAAATATTATTTAGTTGACAGATGCTAAAGAAAACAACATGTCATATTTCAATTACAGGTATTAGTATGTTGGAAAACATGTCCTTATTTTGCCCTGTTTTTCCTGCTCTAATTTATTTAAGTTTCTAAAAAAGTTTTATTGAGATATATATAATTCACAGACCATACAATTCACCCATTTAAAGTAAATGATCAATGGTTTTTAGTATATTCGTATTGATAGCAGTGTGCAACTATCACCACAATCTAATTTTTAAAATATTTTGTCACCCAAAAGAAACCCTGTATTCATCCATTAGCAGCCACTCCCCATAGTGCTAGGCAACCACTAATCTCCTTCTTGTATCTACAGATTTGCCTATAACTGGCTTTTTTCACTTAGCATAATGTTTTCAAGATTCATTCATGTTGTTGCACGTATCAGTACTTCATTCCTTTTTATTGCCAATAATATTCCATTTTATGGATATAACACATTTTGTTTATTGTTCCATTAGTTGATGATATATGAGTTATTTCCACTTTTTGGGTATTATGAATAATGCTGCTGTTAATGCTTATGTACAAGTTCTTGTGTGGATGTATGTTTCATTTTTTTTTGGTTATATTTCACTCCTTTTCCTAGGAGTAGAATTGCTGGGTGAAATACTAGCTCTATGTCTAACATTTTGAAAAACTTCCAGATCGTTTTCCAAAGTGGCTGTGTGATTCCTACCAGCAATGTATGAGTGTTCCAATTTCTCCATATCTTGGCCAACACCTATTATTGTCCCCCTCAGTAGATGTAATGGTATCACATTGTAGTTTGACTTGTATTCACCTAATGACAAACGATATTGAGCATCTGCTTAGGTACTTATTGGCCATTTGTATATCTTCTTTGGAGAAATGTCTCTTCAAGACCTTTGTCCATTTGTTAATTGGGTTATTTTGTCTTTTTATTTTTGTGTTTTATACTGCTCTAATTTTTAATCATGAGGTAAAACTACTTTCAAATGAAAAGCTCACAGCTGTCTTTGTTTATACTATTCTCTCATTCAAATCATAATTAGCAGAATCAATTCAAATTTCCCCAGTAAATTCAACACAATGTGCTATGTTCCTGCACAGTGAAAAGCTAGCCCATTCTGAAAAGAAAAAACTGAAGTAAAATTTCAAATATTATTAAAAATACAATATCCTTCAAGTTTTTTCATCAAAGTTAAAATCTCTCTTTAAGGGGAGAAAAGAAATGAGTGGAGATAAGCCAACTGTTAGGCTATGAGAGGCACCATTTATATAACTGACAGTATGAACCACGTCCACTGGAGTTAGGAACACTGAACTCCAGTAGGTATCACCACCAGATTTCAAGGAAATCTATTTCTTATTATTATTGACCATATGGTCAGCTTGTCTTACTAAATAAAACTGCTCAGCAGACCAAATTCTGCCCAATGAGCAATTCCTTCAAATAGCCATTGTCATGGCCACTCATCAGAGGAAGGGGGGACACGCTGCAGCTGCCACGAGGAGAGCAAGAATCACCCAAAAATTAACAGGTACTTCTCACATACCTCTTTCTGTCAACTTCAACCCAGCCTGTCACCAGTGCTATCAGAATCAAAGGAAAGGAATTCTTACCACTCTTGCAAGTGGAAACCTTCAACAAGACTGCTGATTGGCTGAATAAATGAACAAACAAAGGAGGGAATGGGGAATAGCACTGATTTTTTTTTTACTGGAAGGAACTGGCCCTCACTCTCGTCTCGTCAGTCCAACCACCTGGACTATCTGATGTTTTAGACACACTGTTCTAAGACCACCAAGGATTGGAAATGCAACTAGAAGCCAACACACAGAAAGGGGAAAGACGCAAAGTCAGTTAAACAGATGGGAGAGTTCAAGGAAGTGGAGAAGCTTAATTTGAAAGAAGGAACAGCTGGAGGAAAGCAAAGAAAAGGAAAGAAGATGAAAGCTATTTCCAGACGTTTCCCTCTCTAATTCACCCTCTACAATGCCTCCTCTGGAGCTGCCACTGCCAAATGACTCTGAAAAACACATAACGGGTAGAGAGAGAGTAATAAAACAAATGTGGGAAAATGTTAAAAACGGATTAAGGGTATATACATTAAATTATCTGCATTATCCTCACACTTTTTTGCTAAGTTTGGAATTACTGAAAAGTAACAAAATGTTTTTAAAAGACAGCTTAGATGACCTTGTAGCAAAGGGCAGAGACAGGGATCAAATGAGTGGTCACTGGACCTCAGGCACTGGCCTAGCCAACGCCAGTGGAGAATGCTGAGCCTTCAGGGTCATGGACACACCACGTCCAGCCGCAGCCGTCACAGGTGCTTGGGCGGCAGAGGCAGTGGAACCAAATACGACAGGTTCACTGTTCAGGGCACTCTATTCAAGAAAGAGATGTGGTTGTCACTGGGTAGTTTTATTTACTTGCAGCAAGTAAAGGGGATTCACATCCAAATCTGCCTGGCCAAAGGGAAGCTTAGCCCT